GGATAAATCAGCAGCGCTTAACCAACCTTCCAACTGTTTACTCAGTTCTGAACCTATGGCAAACAGAGATTTTAACTTTGATAATATATGAATCAAAATTTTTATTATATAATTAAATGTAAAATATAAATACATATATAGATGTCTGTTTGATGAATAATTATAGAAATTGATTTATTCTCCTTTGAGCAAATAATAAGAGACAGATATCAAAGAGAGTATATTATATATGATATGATGTATATGCATTTTCACAAAAATAAATCATCAAATTCAATTTCAAATTATTTATTCATATTATATTATATATATATATCATAGTTTATATATTCTGCACACAATCAATTAATAAATTTACAAGATATGTGATTGAGAGAGAATTTTCAACTGAAAATATATATTTTTCCAAAGTCCAATTCGTCGAGATTTTCTATCAAGTAAAGTTGTCGACGACTTTACTTGATAGAATGCGAGGATAAGTGAAAATAAGTGAAAAGTAAATGCATTTTTCGATTTTTTACCATTGTCCGAGTACCAACTACCAGCGTGAGAGGCTCTCCTAATTAATGCCATTTTTGGGAACGCGACGTCTCGTACGTATTCGCGTTCAACGACACTTCATCTAATGTGAAATCCTCGGCGAGATCACAAGTTAGATAGAAGTAAATTGTATATTTTAACCGAGTGTAAATGTTTATAAAACGTTATCACAAAAATCCTTGGCTACTGCTCTTTCCATAGATTATTCAATAAATATAGGTGAATGTTTAAAGTCGATATGCAATTGACTGACGATGAAACAAAAGAGTCCAACATGGCTGATTTGCAATTTCGTTGGTGAAATGGAATCAAAGGGCGTCTATTGGCTAATACGTCATGGTGAAATCGCAATTCTGTTGCATTCAAAGAAATCCACCAATCGCGTTCGGGTACAATAGGTTTGTTTTTTTATTGCTACACTTTTTGAACTAGGGCTGCGGTCCACTTGATGCTACAAACGCTTCGAAGCAATGGGTGCGTTCAGCAGAGAAAGCTTTGCAACTGTTGTAAAATTCTTCAATA